GCCTGATGGAACAAGAGCAGTCTCTTAGACAATTACCTGATCTTGATAGGAAGTTGGCATTCACACAGGTTCCATTGTAGTCCTTGGTCAGTTATTCCAGGAGGTAATTATCATCAGAAGTTAAAATATGCACCTTGGTTTGAATTTCTCTCAGCTGAGCTCCTTACCCCTGGACTTGCTCTCCTTTTATCCCAGGAAAGTAGAAGGAAAATTAGCTTTATTGACTTACAGCAAGTTACTCCTCATTTATTCCAGATATACAAGGAGAGAATCAGCCCCACTGGAGTTACTGCTGATTTACAATAGGTAAGTAGGTACACAATTACTTCTGGTGATTTACAACAGAGTTACCTGTTATTTATTCTAGGTATTTAAGGGTATATCCACAGGGGGGCCCTAAGGAAAATTAAACCAAATTAATTTTAAAGTGGATTAGTTAAACTGTGTTCGACCATGACACAAACCCTCCTCTTCAGAATTAAAGAGGCCTTAATTCATTTTAGTTCATCCTAACTCCTTCCCCAGTGAAGAGCCTCAGTTCAAGTGGAGGTACTGGGATTACAATGGCCAAGCAGGAGGAAAATTGGTCCTGCTCATTTCCGAAGCTGTCATTGCTGTTTTTCACCAAAAGGAGAGCAAGTCACACTGACCTCATTGGTATAAAACCTCAGACTTGCACCTGAGTGCCTTTACAGCCTTAATCCAAGACAGATTGCCCTACTCAAGGCAGGTTAAGAGCGCAGAAAGCAATCACAATCTTTTATTAATTCCTAGCAGCTCGTTCCCAGTGCCCCTGGCCAGCCCTTCAGCTCTCCAAGCCTGCTCCTAAACAGCCGTTCTGCAGTGGGGTAGCTGGGGCCATCACACCGTGCTTAATGTTCCTGTGTAAAGAGCTCTGGCTTAGCTGCTCCATCTCTCTTCCCAGCCCTTCAGGTCTTATCTGAAGGAGTGGGAGGCTGAGAAATGCCATGGTCCTGCAGAGCAGCCCTGCAATAGCCTGTGTGGCTTCCTTCGGGACACCCACTCCCCAGATCCAGGCTGATCTCCCCTCCCCATACAGGACAGGGAGCACAACCCTCTAAATGCTCTGAAACAACAGCTGAGATCCCGGAGGGAGAACCTTCCCTTCCAGCTAAGAGGCATAAGCAGCACAGAGCTGACCATGGAAAGCCTCCCTGCTCTCCCCTCATCCACATCCCCTGCCTTCCTCTCTCCTCCCTGCTCACCCTCATGCATGCAGCACTTCTGTCTCAAACCATCTCTTTTACCATCTCAGCTCATGCGTTGTTCCTTACAGAAGAGCAAAATCTTTTTTCTCCTTCATTTCCCCTGCTCTTCTCTCACATCCCACTTTTTCTCCGTGACCTTTTCCTCTCCTTGGTGCTGTCGAGCACGCCCCAGAGACCAGCTGGCAGCGTGACAAAGATGTGGGAAGTACCCAACAACAGCTTAAGCAAAAACACCCAGACCAGGTCCTAGCCATAGGATCTGCTCGGCTGGGTAAAAGATGAAGGAAGACACAACGCACACAAAGACATCCCTAATAAAACCAGTTACTGCTAAACAGGGAAGTAACCTTTTTCCCAAAGAGAAAGAGCAAAGCATTGAGCTGCCATTTAGCGTCGTGCATTTACAGCGTTTATGAACTGCTCTATCAATCACCAGGCTGGAATGTGAATTTTGGAAGGAACTGGCTATTTACAGATGACAAGAAGCTTTTTCATGGCCTTTTCTCTGCTTTAACAAACAGCCAGCTCACAGCTGAAGGGGCGAGGTTTCCTAAGGCAAACCTGTTTGCAAGCACATCGCCGTGCCCGAGGAGGCTGCAGCGGGGCCGGCGCTGCCGACCCTCTGGTGTGCTACAGGAAAAGACCTCGGAGCTCCTCGTCTGAGCTGATCTTTAATGACTTTATGGCAGCCTCATTAACGGCTCGTGGGTTTCACAGACACTGTAATTGTTCTATCGTTTCAAAGTTATGAATTCCAAATGATCAGATATTAATTAAAGTTTTCCCTTTTGATTTCAGGGCAAGAATCCACCTGGGAGCTTGGCAGGGCTGATGGGGGACTGACACGCCAAAGCAAGGCCAGGCTCCCTGTGGCTGTGCAAACGGCCAGTGTGCAGGGACGTTCAAGGCAGCTGTTAGCTTCAGCCCTGGGTTTGGTACACACCTGGATTGCCCACCTGGGCAAAACACTTCTTGCTCATTAAAAAAGAGACTTGCAGAATGCTTTTCTTGTACATTAGACAAAGTCAGGTAGTGCAAAGCTCTCAGATATGGGTGTGATTCTAAGGACAGAGCAGTGCGATCACTGCTATAGATAAGAATCAAACATTTTCCTAATCTAACAGACTGTGCCAGGCATGATGATACACTTTTTTTTTTTTCCTTCTAGTTCTTGGCATTACCTTACTTTATGAGAAACTCAGCCTTCAAAAGAACAGAGCAAAAATTCAGCTTCCTGTCCTTGGGCTTTTGTGTAAGTCTTGTAGAAGTAACTAGTGTAAGTGTTCTAAATTCAGCAGTTAAAAGGGGAGAGGGCACTGTTGGAGGCAGGATGACCTGCATTGTGAAGCAAGGGCACTGTCTGGCTGGGACAAACTTTAAATTTAGGGACTAATCTAGTCATACTGTGTATAAAGGCTTGAATTTAAATTCATCTGAGCTCTTGGGGTTCAAGGAACTTGCCAGCTCCACGTCAAGTCTAGATTCTAGTTTAGGACATTCAGACACAGAGGGTAACCACGCAGTACGGGCATGCCCTCCAGCTATACCAGCATCCAGGCCTTCGAGATGCTTCCTGCAGTACAAATAACGTGACTCCACTGCCTCCAGGCACAGTGGGTCTAGATGACCTGCAATCCTTAAAGCCCAAATCTGGTGGTTTTGAGGAGCTCACCCTGAGACAACCGGAGACCAAAGGGAGTGCAGGAGAGTGCCAGTGCTGCAAAGACCAGGAAAAAAAAAAGGGGGGAAAAAATTAACAATATGTAGGTCTTGCTCTGGACTGCTGAACAGGGGTGAATTTCACCTTCAGTGAATTACAGAGCAGCTAACTATGCTTTTTTTTTTATTATTATTTTTTTATTTAAATATACAACCTAATTGCAATCTAAATGCAGTAGAGCCCAGCAGAAACAGAGCAGCCTGGCACTATCTCTTTGCATTAGCTGCTGGGTTATGAGCAAGGGAGACATTTATCGCCCCATACATTCCAAGTATAATCACTTAACTGACTCCATCCATGTACCATACTTCCCAGATAATGGGCTAAAGCATCACTTATTAGCCCGGCTGTACCTTGTGAGCAGCTCGGAAACCGCAGAGGCGAGTAGTACACAGAGTCCGAGGTGCTGCAGCCTGCTCAGCACAGGCCATCCAGAAGAAGAGGAGGTAAAAACTCCTTTAATTGAAAAATTCAGCCTTATACTTTAAGACAAATGAGATTTTGATACCCAATCCCAACATTTTAATGAGATTTAATACTTAAGCTGCTCAGGAAACCCCTATACAGACAATAAGAAGCACTGTGGGTTTCATATGTACCCAGTGGCATTGACGTTTGGAAACTAGAAAAAGCAGCATGGGTGAATAAATACTCTTTTCCCTCCCAGGTCACCAGAGCCTGCATGCATCCAACGATTGTGCTGACTTGTTAAATGCAACAGAAAGATCCTGAGTCCCCACTGAAGCTCTTGGATTTACCTTCTGTTTGGTCACCTCTCACCAGAGAACCAGGTGAATTATTTCACTGCTCTAACCCAGTTTTCCCATGAGGATCACAGTCCAGGCTCTGGCAGCACAATTCCACAACACAGTAGCCTCTAATATTGGCAGGTTCAAAACCTTATGTAAGTAACTGATAACCTATAGAATATCATTTTCTATAGTAATTTAATATCCATAGTTTCTATAGGAAGAAAACAGGGGCCTAACCCTTAGCTGAATTAGTACAGCTTGATTGAAATAGTACCTTAGCTAGGTCCTGGAGAGCACCATAGGAGTCACCAGCAAGCAGAATGAAGACGTTCAACAGGGGACAGAACAACAAGCATCAGCCAGGGATCAATGCCTGCACCACAGCTGGAAATGCTGGCCACAGGACATGTGGTGTTAGGCACTAGAGCACAGCAACAGCCAGCCCTTGCTTGGAAGACATCAGTGTGTAGAAAAGAAAGGCAAAAGGAAGAAAAAAACAATTCACCTGACATCATGCAAGAGCCAGACAGAAACATCTTCCCTGCTAGAACATGCTCCTTTGATCCCAGTGAGAACAGCGTGTTTGATAGATGGTATGCACCAAAACACAGGATCACATCACATGGAGTAACTGCTGCTCGGAGGATTATATTCTTCTCCTTACCCTCAAAGGATTTGGCTTCCTCCCCCAGGAGGCTCCCCCCTAGCATCTTCCACACCCTAAAGCCAGCTGTCCCACTGCCCTGTGCTGCACTCATCATGCCCTGGGTGAAGGTCTCTCCTGTCCCAGCTTGGTGGCTTCCCCAGGGTAAGCAGGATGCTCTTTGTCTGGCGTTAGGAGGAATTGTTCAGCCACTCAGACATAATTAATCCAGATGAATATCAAGAGAAAAGGCAGACATAATTATACAGCTGTGCTTGAGAGTTAACCCTGTGTTAATTGACTACACAAAGCTTTGTCTGTGACGAGCCTGGTCATAGACTCCGCTGCCATCTCCACCTTTTTATAGGGCTGTCTCAGTTCCTTTCACCTTGAGGGGGGATTATGACAAGGCTCGTCTTTTGAACAAGTCTTGTTAAGAAATATGAAATAAACCTGTGAAGATTAATCTCAAAAGTCTAATGAATATTATCAGGATGATTCCCTAGTGAGACTCAACACAAAAGCTGGACACTTCTACTGCTGTCACTATTAGAAAGGCAACAGCATCCAGAGACCTCAAATCTTTCTGTAGGGCACTCGACAGTGCCTCAAGTCCCGACCCCAGCTCCCAGCTGGCTGCAGGGAGAGCCACGTACCTGTGCTAGGTCAGCCTCCTGAGCCAGGGGCACGCAGGTGGAGATGGCAAGCACAAAACCAGAGACCACAGGTTGCTGGATCCAGCACAGGGATAGCTCAGGGCGCAAGGCTGGACTCGGCGTTGCACTGGAGCTGGAACAAATCACAGCTGCTTATGAGAAAAACCTAGAGTTTCTAAGGCTTTCAAAATGTGACTTATGGGGTATGTGTGTGATGGACAGATGCCGTTTGGATTTGTGCCCCAGTTATCCCCAGGTAGTGTGAAGTTCACTGGTACATGATGCAGAGGCTCATAGGAGATGGGTTTGGTCTGGTCTGCACAGGAGAAAGGACAGTTCAAGCAGAAGACAGCTGTGCACCCAGGGGTCAGGGGCTCGAGCAAGCCTCGCGTTATGCCAGCCCTCTGAATGAGGCTTATAATTACAGAGCAGCTAGGTTTTTTTTTGTTTTGTTTTCAGTTTAGGAGTGGGAGGGCAGCCATGACAGAGGAAAACAAGCATATCACTTCTCTCCTGAGCCTGCTGCAGTAACAAGCACTCCAGGAGAGGCACTGTTTGCTGCTATTTCACCTGGCAGCTCTCCTTGCTGCCTCTACCCGCCCCCTGGGGCTATCTCCCAGGCCCATTACTGTCCTGGCAAATCTGATGGCTCTTCAATGAGGAAAGCTCTCTTCTGCCAACAGAATTGTTTATTTTCTCCAGAAGCTGTGTGATAAATCAACCTGACATGTCCTAGCCTCCATGAAGCTGCCTCAGCGGTAAGAATAGCATCGTGCGAGGTTTTGTCTGCACTGCTTGGTACATTCTCAACATTTAACTTCCATTTGCAATAGTGACTTGAGCGAGCCGAGATGGATGAGGGTGACAAGCTAACATCCTCTGCCTTCTCCCCATTCACTTAAAGCTGGGAAATCCATCCCGTCTGCTATTACAGCCCGGTGCAGCACTTCCAGGATCACACCAGAAACACACCCAATGGGAGATGCATGCTTTATGCCCAAAATGCTCCTCACAATTCCATCCCTGTGCCTCCAGGGAGCTCAGGGCTACGTTCCCAGCTGACATGGCACAGTGCAAGGCTGCGCAGAAACTTCTCCAGCTGGCACCTGAGAGAAAGCCAGACCACCCAAGGCCTGCTTCTTACTAACAGTGGTAACTGCTAGTGGTACACAGTCCCACCCATGATTTCAAAAGACATATGCATCTTCTGAGGACGTCAGCAGCTCTAAGTTTGCTCAGTCCCTTAATCCCCGGGCAGAAGATCCCCATCATCTGTCCAGTACAAGGCACATTAGTAATGGATTACGGTTGCAGCCCATAAAGGTCATTTTTAATGCTTTTAATGAACGGAAAAAAAAAAGGGGGTTCCTTTCAGATTTATAATTTTCAAGAAGCTTGCCTGTGCAAACCCTACCGGGTAAGTAATATGCATTGTGAGGCAGAGGTACAACCTGTTCAGTTCTTCAAAGCAGACCTCAGAAGGGATGAATTGTAATGTGTAGTTGCCCAGTGCAGATTCAGAAACCAGTCTGAGAAGAAAATACAGGCCAGATTTTCAAATTTTTAACTTTGAAGTTTTTTTTTTTTTTTTTTTTTTTAATCTGTCAAGAGCAAGTTTATACAGACTTGCTGTCCTCTGAGGGTGTAGCTACTGCCTTCAGCTGGTCAAATACCACCTTTGGCTACACAAACATCACAGGGTATCACTTATTCAGCCTTTTCTGCATGAATTTTGCTGGATGGTATGCCTTCATCTTCCTGCTCAGCCTTATGATCTGATTATGATCTGTTTGTTAATGCTGTGGACAGGGAAACACTTCTTAAACACCCCTACAAGCAGGCATCCTCTGAGCCACATGCCAAGTTTACTGATATTGCCTCTTTTCAAGCATGGCTTTATTTTGCCAACAGAAGAACTTACACTGACCACAGCTTTCTGGGAATTCCTCCCTACCCTCACCTTTGCTTGCTCTTCTATCTCAGGTCTGCCGCACAGCACAGCCTTCTGCTGACAACCGTACCATAAGGCCCAGAACCACTGCAAGGCAGAAAAAAAGAAAGGAACCAATTAGGGATGAAAAATATCTGCTTGTCACTGCTGTTTCTGATCTCGTCACCTTGAAAGGTGACACCCTGCAGGCCTGGCACAATCAATGAAAGAAGGCTGGAAGATGGGAGCCCATGAGGGGGGCTCAGACCACTCCTGGTGGCTGAACAACGCTGCCAGACCCCACGTCCCTCTGCTCTTTGGGTCTGAAGGATGGCCAAGGGCTGATTTTGGAGGAGCCAGCAGGCTGTGCTGACCGCAGAGGAGCCCAGTCTGTCCATTTGTCCATCCATCCATCCTGGGACTGCACCCAGCAGGCGGCTGCTCTGGCTTCCCTCAGGAGCAGAGGTGACAAGGGCAGCTCTTCATCACCAGTCACCGAGATGAAATGACTCATTATCGACTGTGATTCCTTTCAGGTTCTCACACGAGCTGTTAAATTGGAAGCACTGAAGCACTTTGCTTTGTACAGTATTTGATTTGTTTTCTTTCTTTAGTATTATTTAAACTTTGAGCCCAGCTACAAGGTAGTTCTAAATAAATAAAGGTAGGAGAGAGACAACTGCAGCTTTATTATCAGGCACCACACAGCTCCCCCAAATTGCATTCGTTCTTTCATGTGTTCCCAGTCTTTCTTCTGTATTGTATAGCATCTCTGCCTCTCCAGAAATGATAATAGGAACTGCATCTTTGATAAGGCATCCTTCTGCTCCTCATTAGTGCTGAGAAACAAGTCGGAGAGGCGTTAGATGTACAGCCAGAGCGACCAGCTCCCAGTGACAAGGAATGACCACGTGCTTCTTCAGACTTGCAGCTCTTTCAGCTCTGCATCTCAGTGCGCCTCCTATAACACCCACGCAGCAAACAGACCTCAGCAGGGACTGCTGAGATCCAGTATTTCCCTCTCCCAAAGAGGCCAAGGTCCCCAGAGAGGCGACACAACCACTCATGGTGTGTACACCTCCAAACCTTGTGAGTGAAGTCGCATTTTGTCCTGAGACCTCAGCTACCACAAATGCTTGTCACTGTTAGCAAGCTACACGAATGCAACATGCTCCTTGCAGAAAAAAAAATAATAAAAAAAATCACTAGAAGTAACTCAGTCTCCATGAAATACTGAAATAAAGTGTCAGTTCCTCAGTAGCACGTTTCCTTCTTGCACTGAAGCCTTCTAACACAAGCAGCACTGACATGTCCCGAGGTAGCTATGGTATGATTCACATGCACTTCCATTCTCACCACAGATTTGCCTTCTTGTTAGAGTACAGCAGCCACAGTCACACGCTGTCTTCCCACTCGATGGAGAAAACAGCGGGTTGGAGCAGTCCCTAGCTATTCTGCAAGGTCTCGTCTGTCCTAGAGAATCAACTTGTCATATACCAAAGGCAAAACTCTTTGGCTAGAAGCCAGCCTCCAAAGCAAAGCCAAAATAATCCATTCGAAGGAGTGGAAATATGCTGGAGGAGCTGACATCAGCATCTGGCCCGGGCCACTCAGCAGTTACTTGGCACATGGTGGTTTTATGAATGTTGCATTTTATCTCGGCAATCACATTAGCCCTGCGCTCAGACATTTCAGCTGCAAGCCTCAGCTTCCAGAAGCACGGCATCTCAGAATATGTTACAGGGATGGTAGGAGAGCAGTTGGAGGATTTTCACTCCAAAACAAATGCAAGCTGTTTAGGGCTCCTCAGCAGATGATGCTTGAAGTTGTCTGTGTTGCCTAGCATCTTTCTTTGCAAATCACCTATTGCAAGGACATGCGTGTGCAAACATACACGTACACATCGCACACAAACATTTGCCCACAGATCACAAAGTGGATGCTCTAGGAGCTTGTCAAGATCTGAGGATCTCTGTAACCACATAGGTGTAGCAGTGGAAGGAGCTGGCACACGACAGCTGTCATTGCAAGCGACACCAAGAAGGGGAGACAGACCTTCCAGCCAGAGGCACGAGGCTGCGCTGAGCAGGCACAGCCACGTGCATAAATCGGATTCAGAGATCAAGCCAGAAGGCTGCTGAGGCGAGCTACACAGTACTGAAGTGTGCGCTGCATTGCCATGGGATTTTATTTATTTTTTTAAACAGTTTCTACACTGAGGTTTGCACTAGCACAGTGAGAAGATGAAGTTGAATTTGGGGTATGGTCTGAAGCCCCCAGCAGGTGAATGCAGCACTGTCACCCACTGCAAACCTGGCCCCAGGTTTTCTGACCTTGTATCACAGCTTGTTGTGAGTCTCTGATGCTGACCTTAACACGAGTTTACATCAAGAGGGCAATGCAGTTCCTGATTTGTCCAGTCTCTTACAGCTTAAACAGGTATTGTGATCAGGGACTGTATTTTCTGTGTTTCTGTGGGCATGGATGAGTCAGAGAGAAGGCTGTCTCTGCTACAAGCAGTCCAAGGAAGAGCTGCTAAAGTGTAAAGCAGGTAACAAAGGCTAAGTCCTCACCATGGAATGAGCTACCATGCCCCAACAAACCAGCAGCCTGGCTCTAATCCTCATTCGTGGGATGAGTGCAATCCTAGAGATCAGTTTTGCAGAACTCAGGACAGAGGGTAGCTCAGCCTCCATTTTGCCCAAACTCACCAAAATATACTCAGGTCATTAGAGAAAAATGCCTTTGCTAGATCATAAGATTTTCCTTGTCCCCAGGAAAAGAAGCTTCCTGACTCGTGGTCTTTAAAGAAAAGGGCAAATAACCCTGGAGTGGCAGGGGAGGAATTAGAAGACCAGCATCCACAGGCTGAGCTCAGGATCATTAGTCATTGTTTTTCCCTCTGATTTTCCCCAAGCTATTTTGTTTGTATATATCAAAACATGACTGATTACACTCTAGAAAAGCGAAGATTCTGTTCAACTTTCCCAACATAAATTACAATTAACAGCCAGAGTTTCACTTTAGGGCAGTTTTTTCTAAAGATTCTCCCAACCATTACTTGAGAGGCCCACAATAAATGAGCATCTGGCCCTGCAGGGACATTGTCTGTCCTTGGCTCCTGCAGATACCAGGCAGGAATACAAGGTACTCAGCACCTCGCAGGATAAGCCAAGAAGAGCATCAGTTGATTTGGTCAGGCACCGTGGTAACTTCCCCTATGCAGTATGAGAGATTTCTTTTGTTCCAGGCCTGCAGCACACTTGCTGCTGCTCTCAGGTGCCTTCTCAGGGTTTTGTTAGGGCATTCTGCACTGGCACAGTTCCTAATGCTCATGCTTTTCAGTCTTTCCCTCTCTCCACATCAGCGCAGCACGGACAATTCAGCCCACGAGCAGGTCCATAACATCCAAGTGTGTGCTTAACACAATCACTGCATCACAGTCTGTTTCGTCATTAATTCAAAGCGTTTCATAATAGCTTTGATATGTGCTTTGGGATACCTGGACTTCAAAACATCCTGGAGACAAAGTGACATCACTTACCGCTTTCTGTTGTTCATTACAAAGTCATCTAGTACCAGATGTAGCTGTAGGCCTTTTAAATGGGAAGTGTTTTAAAGCAGGTAAACCTTTCTATTTGTCATTTCTCAAACAGTACATTAAAATATCATCCTGCATCGAGTCTGCCCAACTGCTCCATGGACTATTATGTACTGTAAGCTACCCTTGAAATGAGACAGTTTAAGCAAAAGGAGCTTTTAAAAATAAAATTTTGCACTCGATTGCATCTTCTTGCTCTCTCCCTGTGCTTCACAAATGGAAATAACTTCCTCTAATATTCCTTTGATCACAAAGTACAACAATAGTCTTCAACGACCACCAGACACCAAAGTGCTGGGACTATGTGACCAGTGCAGCACAGTTGCTCAGGGCAAGATTCTTTCAAGCTCTCCACTCCCAGCTAGAGCCATCCAGCTGCCACAGGCAGCCACAAACAGACCCAGACTGGCTCTAAACAACCTGCTTGGGGTGATGGAAGCTCTTTTGCCATGTCAGTGAGATTCTGCCCAAATGCACACCTCAAACAATTCAGCCTCAGAGCTAGGCTAAGTATCCTCACAGCACGCCAAATTGCACAGTACAAATGTGCCCTTGTGGCAAATACTCACATTTCCAGGTGACCCAGGAGCACTGCTGGGTATTTGGCAGCATCACCTGTGAACTCTTCTGTAAGGGCTAACGTGCAGGTGAATATCCAAAAACCTGGACAAGGCTCTCCAGCAAATCTGGTCCCAGCATGGGCTGAACAGGAGCTCCCTAGGTCCATAAGTAAGACTAGGAATTCACCCACAGGATGCCGAAGAAAAAGGAGCTACTAGTAATCCTGCTCAGAACTTTTACACATTGCTAATGAACGTGTCAGGGTGGCAAATTTCTCAGATAGACCCCAAGGGATACCTGTGAATAACAGGGAGGTTTCTGTCTGTCCCAGCCAGGTAGCTCGGGGCACTGTGGATAGCAATCATTAAGCAGTTTGCTGTAGTAAATTAAGTTATCATGGTAAACATGAGCAATGTTAAGGGCAAATAACTGGCTCTGGCCCAGAACTGCAGATTTTGGCCTCCAGTATATTTACCATGTCAACTATGTCCCGAACTAAGTGAATGCCACGAATTTCTGTAGGCACCTTCTCTGTCCTGAATCCATTACTCCAGTCAGACGGCAGAAGTCAAACATCATCACATTTCCTGGCAACTGAGAAGTTACATAACAAATTTGTTTATCCCAACTCCTATATTTGGCAAATTACCATTGCTTTGCAGATGCTGGGCCATAAGGTTACAGGGTAAAGAGAAAGGCAGCCAGCATTCCTGTGCAGTAATTGACAGTCAGCATCACCACAGCACCAAGACAGGAGTTGATTTTGCCTCTGATTAGACTCGTCCCTGCTTTAAAGTATGTGCAGTGACATATCTCTTTGCCTTGAAGCTGTAAGATAGGGTTATTCTGGGTGTTACTTTGCCAGGCAGGGGTGAGGATCTCAATGTGAAAAGTCAAAAAAAAATCTGAATAAGATGGCAACAGTGAATGCTACTGAGACCACTGT